CTACACGCTAAACATCCCCAATTTAGGGATGATGGGCATGAGGACAGGATTTATAGTCATGAGAGGCACGTGGGATCAGATGTCTGGTTCTGCTGGCCCAATCTGTTCCGCAGGGGACCACAGTTCAGACAGACCCAAGTCCTGGGGGAGCAAGATAGGAAGACAGTCCTCCAGGCTTGTGGATCTGAATACAGCATGCCACACAGGTGGGGTTAGACAAGTTCAAGCAAGATGCCATTAATACCAAAGTATAAACCGGATCTTTTAAGTGAAGTCTCCCAACTCCCTCCCTTGCAACACAAGCAATCTTTTTAATGGTTTCTTATACAATCGTGATGTGCAAAACTACTGACAGGTATTACAGGACAAACACCCTGTGTCTGGTCGTGACAAACCTTAATTTTAAGCTGTGTGTAGCTCCCTCAGCACACTGAGGTGGGACTCACCTTGCCTGACCGATAATGCACTCAGCACAGGAATCCACACCTGCACTAGGTGGGTAGGCTGCATGATCAGCACAGTTGGTGGCACCTAGGGGACTATCCATTTCATGCTAAAGACGACACCCATAGAGTGTGAATGATACCCTAAATCTTGATAACTGTGGGAGCGTAGACACCTTGCTGACATGTAGACATCCTTATTGTAAATGTCTGAAGTTTAGTGAACTGAAACCAACCATCACCTGTTTTGTGTGGTCCTCAGTGGTCACTACCACACAGATTACCGCTGAGGATCTACAGAGTGACTGTGAGACTTGTCACATACACTTAGGATCAAAATTTCTTTATTGGTCTTTGACTTGAAATGACATTGTCATTTTCTTTGAGCTCTTTTGTCTCTCATTCCTCCTCTCAACATGCACACACAAACTATGTGCATGCACAGAGAAAATTAAAGCTATAGTTGGCATCAGCCTGAGGGCTAAGCTTATGTTGCTTGCATACAAGGCCATTATGGAAACAGGAATAGAAAATTTCAAGGAGTCACTATCAATAGAAAACAGCTCAGACTCAAATATTTCTCACTTGTTGAAAGCAAGCCAAATCAAAAAGTAACCTGAAACACTTTTGGACTTGTTGGGAATACTCGTGGGTGTGGCTGCAATAAGTTTCATCTGGGTGCTAGGGAGACTTCCATATTTTTGTTATGCTGCAAGTTTGACAGGACAGATTCATCTTAATTCAGCACAAATTCTATTAAAGACACTTACTATGGACAGTAAAAGTGCATGAGTACACCATAAGAAAATGCATCTCTGAATTTAACAGTGCATCAGCAAATGCACCACTGATGCTAAAAGTCTCAGCTTTAAATGCTGAGGTCCAAAGATTCTGCAGTGTCTTAAAAGGCTGTGTCACACGCATCATTTGCTTTGTAGTGTACAGATCTGGAAGGGAAATTTTCCCAGAAAAGTGAAGCATGATGAAAATAACACCCAGAAGCCTCGTTTCTACTTCTCTGTACTATTTTGTTAGGAAACACACATAATTGGAGAGATAAAAAAATAAAGCACAGTACAGTGTTTGCATGTATCTTGCTTTCTAAACTCCTTAAATAATAAATAAATAAATAATAGGTGTAGTAAATGGTAATTGATGTGGAGACTGCTGCACCCTGCCTCTTTGCATGATCTGTCCCCACCCCTTCTGATCTGGATGACTCCTGTGCTAAGCCTCTCCTCCTCACCTCCCAATCCCAAAGTCTGCAGAAGAGCTGAAGAGCACCTGGAAGCTGAATGGGCAGCAGCAGGAGCAAAACTGTCATCGGGACTGGTTTTCTTCTTCTTGTGTTTAAAGAAATCTAGCTGGTACCTCTCTGAGCAGAAGCAGCGAGCTGGGCTAAAACAGGATCCTGTACTCCAGGTATGTGATGGCAAACTGGTCCACAAAGTTGACAGCAGAGGAAGTCTAACTACTCTTAACTGTTCGGAAAGGGACAAATCTGAAATTGCTAAGCAGTTAGACATAGCACTAGATTGGAGCACTTACCATTGAATTAAATTACTGTTGGACTTTATAATACTATCACTGGACCCAGGAAAAGGGCAGAGATGTCACATCTTGGCATCAATAGTCCAAGGTCCTGCCAAATAGCACAGCACTTTGAGATCACGTGCTCATATTCACTTTCTGGGAAGAGGGATTAACCTCAGGACTATCTTTGCCCCTATTTGACCTGATTGTTTTTTTAAAGATTTTTAGCCTCACCTTCCAAGTAGGGATTTGTTTTTTCCTATTGAAAACTAAGACTCAGCAGGACTTAACCATGTGATTTGTTGCACCCTAAAAACGTAGTAGTTCGGGTCTGTCCCACCACCCAAGGCAGCCCACCTTTGCCTTGTGATAGTAGTAAATATCTCTCCTCAGTTTTTATGTTACTTGCACAAAAGCTGAATGGTACTGAGACACCCAAGGAAAAGCAGGACCACTGGTGAGAAGAAGCTCTAAGGCGGCTTTCTCTTGACGTGCAGCAGGGTTACAGCAGGCTGATGGATATCACTCTTTTTTCCCTGTTAGCAGCAGTCAGGTTTTGCCCTGTTTCTAGCTTCCCACCAAGCCCTGTGTCTCCTCTGTGCTGCAGCTCAGCAATGAGGAGCAGGGTGTAAAGGAGAGATGCTGCCTGCTCGGAACTGTGCCATGGGGAAAGCAGGAAAAGGAAAAGTGTAATGGCTGAAATTGGTGGGAAGAGGGAATGAGGTGAGACAGGATGGGTAGGAAATATCCTGGCTTGTTGCTTTGCCACACCACGTTGCGTGGGATAAAGCGGGCGGGAACAAATAAAGCTTCTGACTGAACAGGATCCTGTCAAAGACTCCTAAGCAGTTCAGGTGTGGCTGACTATGTACTAAGGTTCCCTACAGCCTGGTGCCTGGAGGACAGCCAGCTGGATAGGCATCAAGCAAGATTAGCCAAATAAATGATTTCTGGGAAGCAACCAACATATAGGCAGTAGGCTGTTTCACAACTGTTGCAAAGCTTAATGCCTCCTAAACAGTACTTCCTTGAAGGGAACACCATAGGTTGAGCAAAAGACCTTAGACGAGTAAGACGTGGCTGCTGCTTCAGAAGCCAGTGGTGTTAGCCATCTTCAGGAGTGCCTGAGAATTCTCCAGGAAGTCTCTTACACTTCAATAAGCTTATTAATCTTAGGTAAAAAAAAAAAAGAGGTAGGAAGCACTTTGGCATGAACGTCTCTCAAGCTTTTTCAGGCCTGTTGTACAGGGTCTTAAACTAGGAGATACTCTCACATGCATGTTACAACTTCCACTTTCATACGATGCCAAAACAATGGAGGTTTTAGTCCTGAAGACCAGGCTTCTTCATGCTTCCTAGCGCCAACACTGACATTCAGATGTTGAGAAAGGTGAGTGAACAATTAACACATGTTAGCTCTCAGTTATCAGCACAAGGGATTACTCATGATGTAAGATCATGCACCTCATGGTTATTTCTGAAGCAGCTTGATTCTAGTAGTGAAGCCACATTCGCCCAGTTCCTGTATCTCTACACCACATTCTTATCAGCCAGGGGTTGTGGTTGTAATCGAGCATATTTGCTCGAAGTCAGTGCTGGCCCTGCCAGATCTGGTGACAGCAGCCCCAGGGTTGGGAGAGGATGAGGAAGAGCAGTGTCTGCACTGTACATTGGGAGGGCTGATTATCTTGCGTGTAAGGCAGTCTGAATGCATATAAAATTTGATGCTGTTATTGAGCCTGTGTTAATCATGCAAGCTGAGAAGTGTTGAGTAAGGCATAAGCGAGCAGTGAGTCTATGCAGCACTGACTCTCTGTTCTTCAGGTAGCCTGCACTATGGATCCAAATGTGTCTATGTTGCCTAGGCAAAAATTTCCATTATTCAGTGAAACCTAGTTCTCCGCTTCTGTGGCTAATTGAGAGCTGAGGAAGGTGCACAGTTTTACCAGATTTTGCCACACTTCCATGAAGACTAGATCATTTTCTGAAGTGCATGTTAAAATGCAAACAGAAATAATAGGCTGATGTAGAAATGGTAGAGTGGAGACAGGCATAATGTATATGCAGGTGTGTGCACTGCATCCCCAGGGACAGTTTCAAAGTCAGTACGTGGCTACGAAATGCTACTATTAACAGTCCCCCTGCAGACTTAATTGGATTCCTTGTATAGATGCATTATAACACTACCTTTAATTACAGGATCACATTCTACTTTTTGCACAGAGTCCATTCCAAGCTCCTGACACAGAGAGTCAGAACAACTTTTGACTTTAATCCCTCTAGCACAGCTACTGGCTCATTGTCTGTAATTGCTGTATTTGGAGAAGAGACAAAATCAAATACTCTCACATATTTTGAATGAGATTTACATATCTGCTTGTTTTCTTGCTATGCCTTTCAAGGGCATATGGGCCCAAGGCATTGGAATCTAATTTACAAACCCGTACTGTGGTCCTTCACCAGCTGCGCCCAATACGTCAGCTCCCAGAACAGCTGTGATGGTGCTACTGAAAGCATAGATTACTGCTAGCAGGTGGCAGTTTTGAGAGAACCACTGAACACTGTACTTTTCTGTAGAAGTTGAGTGCTGTGGTCCTTACCTATCACATAAATCAAAGAAACCAGCATGGGATTCTCCATGAAGACATGTGTGATGGCCCCATACCTGGGGAGAGAGTGACATCAGAAGCCGTACTGCTTCACACCAGTGCTGACAGTGTGTCATGGGAGCAAAACAAACGTGATATGAGAGGCAGGACCTACATGTACAGGTTATTTGTAATTTTATGGCTTTGCTTTTGGTATTTCTCTTCATTCTTAGATTAATAACACATGATGGACTAAGAGACATTCAGCACTGGAACACTGCTTTTGCTTTTTTCCACTTTCTCCTTTCAGACAGGGATGTCAATGTTACAGAAGTTATTAAACTACTTTCTGCAGACCGTATTTGCCTTTATTTGCCCGTAATAATTTTTACTTTCTTGCTCACTTTCCCCCTCTCCCCTTTTTTTAGGTTTCCAAATGGCTGATCCTTTCCTATATCACACTGGAGAAAGATCTCATTATGGGTGCCTTGGACATGAAGTACAAATTGAGCACATCATGGCATATGTTTGTAGACCATCCTTTTTCACAGACAAAGCAGTGATTGTTGTTCATGATATATTTGGATGGCTGTTCCCAGACATTAGATACATAGTCGATTTGATTGCAGGTCATGGATACATGTAAGCAGCTGTCTTTCCTGTCTTCCTTTTAAATGCACTGATAGATCACCAGCCACAAAGCTAAGCATGGCATATGGTGTTTCCCATATACATATGGCATTTCAGTCAGAGCGAATAAAAAAGCAAAGGGACAAAATGTTCCCATAAGGCCACCAAGGCTACTAAAACTGACCCTTTAAAAATGGCTACCTAAGCACCAAGCCACAAGAAGAGTCGCAAAGTGCAGTGTTTGTGCTTATGTGGCAGCGTGTGTGACTAAAAGATAAACATTAGTATCTATCTTTAAGTTGTATAAGGTTTTCAGAACCAAACCTTTTGAACAGTTGCTTTATCTTTGACTAGCAGACATATGTGTGTTTGTGTAGAATCAGGACGGTTGCTTAATCCCTTTAATTTTTTATTAATTATGTCTGAGGAAATAATGAGAGTTTATTTGTGGTTACTTGTCCCTAGAAAGACATACACTTTTAACTCTGCTGACTGCCAGAACAGGATGAGTAGAATTTGATTCAGATAGTAACCATGTAGATGTGTACTCTGGAGTAGAAAAGACATTAGGAGACATTTAGACATCCGCAGATTCTCCCCACTTGGACATGAAAGTTGACCTGACTCCGTGTCTCACACAGCACCATCTGCCCAGACTTCTTCAAGGGAACAGAGCCCTGGAAAACTACTGATCACTGGGCTGACTTTGCTGACTGGATGAAAGCTCATGATCCTACGAAAGTAGATAAGTAAGATGCATATTTGTACTTGAACTTCAAAAAGCATCCAGCAAATGAGGGGAATTTGTATGAAATGTTAAATGTGGCACCTCACTACAGGGCAAGCTGGCTGTGTGCACAGAGTTGCTTATTCTGGGCGGTTCTTCTGTCGTTCTGGGTACTGTCTTGGCTGGGATTTGGAAAGGATCATCTGCTATATTCATCATTGTTTATTGTCCTATCTTGTTTTCCTGGGTCCTTTTCTAACTATGTCATACTGGTCAGGCAGGCTCATAGCCAGTGTTTCACAGGCTGTGAAATACTCAGCACTCTCACCCACAAGTGCTGATTCTGCCTCCAGTTCCTCAAGATAAGGAGGAAAACCCTTGCACAAGTGCTCATGTTATCTGCCAGTTGTCACTTGCTCATCTTCTATCTGCTTTGTAGATAATGACAAGTGTAGATTATATTCTCCTGAGCAGCACTAGATAAAAATTTCAAGACTACATAAAACCTAAGATATATATGATCAGCTACACTGTTTTTCTCAATGTGATTCAGAGGGCCCACTATCTGTAGAGCCTAGCAGCATGTGTAACAAGGCTTCCCTGAATTATGGGAGGCATAACTGTTTCTTCAGCATCTATCACCACAGCCCAAAACTTCAGAAGGTGATAGTGACGCAGTGACACCCCATTACTCAGCTATAATCTTGTAGGCCACAAGTATTCTTCTGACACTTTTGAGACATCCCAGCAGCCACAGCCTAACTTCAACATCTCTCAGCAAAGCTTCTGATCATATAGTTGTAGAAGCTGTGACTGGACTTTTTTAAAAGACAAATGACTAACACCTGTAAAAAAATCCTGCTCCAAAGAGTGAGTAGATATGTAGGCACTGTCTTAAGCAATTACGATGTCAAGGACACACCTGTGCTGTCTTTTGAGGGTTCACTTGTAGCTGCCCTGAAGGTCAGATCTGTTGCTCTTTCAGAGCACGAAGAATGGAACACACCCATGACTTAGTACCCTTCCAAACAAATTTAATCTGAGAAAGCTCATCCATTCACAGTGGACAAGCTACAGGCCTAGGATATGATCTCCTGTTTGTGTCACTCTTGTTCTGCTTTTTGTCAGCCTCACAAAACCTGTGATGATCATACTAATGTGCTTAATAGAAAATATAGTTATTAGTATACACAGTCTGCATTTAAAATTAATTTAAAACTCTGTAGATAATAAAAAAGATAAAAACATTGAGACCTAAGAAGCTGGCAATTAAAAAAAAAATTGCCTGCTCTGACGTACACTAAAAAAAATTACATAATTTTTGCGTTATACCACATGCAAAGCCTGTTTTTTTTTAAACAATATAGTTACTGACAGTTTAATTTTGAGTAATTGCTACTTTAGTATAGTGTTATTGCATGTGGGCTTGGTAGGATATTTCAATATTAACTCATGCAATAGGAATGACATACTCAAGATAAATCTTTATCTAAATAGGTGGACTCTGTAGAGATAGCATAGTGAAACTTATCTATTCCTACAATCCATAATGCAAGATGTTGTTCTACTCGCAGATATGTCTTGTCTTTAGTTGTCCTGTCCTAGACAAAGTGATTCAATTAAAAATTTGCTTCTTTTGAAAACAAAGGAGCAGGTCACTTATTCAGGTAAGTATTTAAGTACCTACACACCTGTACTTCCCTAAACTAGGACCCATTTAAAAATAGAAGCCACCCTGTGGACTGAAATGTGTTTTTAAGGTATTCTCTGTTTTAAATAATTGGGGGTGCAGAAAAGGTTATGTATCTCTTTTAATTTACTTCTTAAATTGTAAAGTAATGATTCTGCAATAGATTCCTTAGTTTGCTTTTGTTTATATGTCTTAGGGAAGCTGATGTTGTCTTGAAGTATCTAAAGGAACAATGCGGTGCAAAGAAGATTGGTATCGTTGGGTTTTCCTGGGGTGGAATGGCAGTACATCACTTGATGCTGAAAAATCCTCAATTAACCGCTGGGGTGTCCCTCTATGGTAGTGTAGAACACATGACAACTTACATGGGCTCACATGATTATGCGTAGTTTGTAAGTCTAGTTATTGCTTTGTAACAATTTCTGTAAATACTCAACTCAAAGGTGAGTTGTAGATTTTAATTATGGTTATTTCAGCAATACGCTATATTGGCATAAAAGAATTCATAATGCTGTAAACTAGAAAAAAAATGTTTCCTTTCACACAGCAATTTTTTAATTTCTTTTTTTTGTGCTTGGAAAGTAGGGAAATGTATTTTCCAAATCCTTTTTTCTCCATCCAAATAGAAACTGTGCTGATCTAGAAAATGTACATAACAAGTAAACCTAAATAGAAATTTTGACTTTTAATTTGCCATTTATCTTGCAAGAACATTAACCTCACTAACAGACTGTTTCTCAAACACATTATAGGAATAATAAGGGACTCTGAAGAAAGATACGATTTACTAAATCCCACATTTTTCATTTTTGGTGAGAAAGACCACACTATTTCTTCTGATCAGGTAAGCTGTTGTACTGGAAATACTTCTTCTTTTCCTGTAGTTCTTTTATCCCACACAGAAAACCTAGTGTGTTAGAAACCATTTTCAGACATGAAAAGTCAGATAGGCTTGTTTTGCTTATGTTGCAACTTACCGCATATCTTGCTTAGGTTATTCAAAGCTGTTTCTTTGAGGTGAGAGATGCAGTAAACACCAGTCATCAGTCTCTGGTTGGACAAGCAGAGTGTGAAACTGGGCAGGGAGATCCAACTGGAATGAGCCTAACATCTCAAAAGCTTGGATACTGCTGCTATGGATGAGAGAACAGGTAGTTAAACCACTGATGCCAGACTTTGAATGGAAAAAAATAATTTCAGCAGTGTGGTCTGAGAACGCAGATGACAAAGTTTACTTCCAACTGGGTTATTCAATAACTTTATTTGTACCTCAAATATTTGTCTCCTCTGCACAGGAAAATAAATCCCTCACTCCCTGTTACCTTTTTAATGTTGAAAATGTCTTTTTCCCAGCAGCACAATTTTCATAAATACTTTTTTCCCATCATGCATTATACTCTGAAACCATACCTTTTTCTCCTGAAGCCTTCTCTCTGAGAAGTACCTCTGCAGATTGTGTAAGAAAAAATCTGCATTGAAAAAAAAAATCCTCAACATTATTTTATGCATTGAGCAATAAAGGCTTCTGTGGAAAAAAAATAATTGTGAACATGAAATAAATTACAGTAACATATCTAATTTGCTTAATAAGTAGAATTAAAGTTGCAGGGGCAAAATACGGGTTCATTTTTCTATTTTCTGACTCTTTAATGGAAATGAGCACAAAAATGTGTCTAAACATGAATAAAGGTACATAATCACCTGATTAATACTCTGTGTAAGCATGTGTGGACTTATCATCAAAAGATTGTGCAGGAGCAGTGTCTTTTTGTTATACAGCAAACTAAAATAAACCCCTGTTTTTTCTTAAACTCTGTTACTAAGCCTATCAAAATACTTTGGACTGAGAGTCACTGAGGTTTATGGAATATATTCTTCCAAGATCAGAACTTAAAATCAAGTCACAAACCTAAGTCTCTGAATAGAAATGCACCTGTGCCTTTGTGGCAGTGAGATTTACCAAACCATCTTTGCAGTAACTGTTGAGGTTCTTAGTCTCACCCATACTTATAAAAAAATGTTTCTGTCTTGTATTTCAAAGAGGGGTTTTCTCATCTGTTGAGCAACAGAATCTGCTTCGAGTGTGACAGACAGGAAAAGACAAAGATATAGCAACAGAAGAAATGGGAAGTTTGGCAAACTTGAAAAACAAAAACAAAAACAGAAACAAAATAACTAAAACCAAAACCAAAACCCAACCCACAACATAATGGAAAAATGCTTTCTTTTACAGATCATCTTATTAGAGGAGAAGCTGAAAGAGTACTGTAAAGTTCCATATAAAATTAAAGTTTATCCTGGACAAGTTCATGGGTTTGCACAACTGAAGCCAGAAGATATGAAACCTGATGATAAACCTTATATTGAAGAAGCTAGAAAGGATATGATTGATTGGGTCAAAATGTTTGTTTGACAAAAATATGAAGTAACACTAGGCTTCAAGATCAGTGTTTGATTTAATTTGAGAGAAGAAAACAGCCAAGAGAAAACTGTCTGGTTTCAAAAATTGTCACAAACAAAAGCAGGAACTTTTTAATTTATAGTTCTTAATTATTTTTTTGCAACATTTGCACAAGATTGTGAAATAAAAGTTGGACTAAAGGACGATTAGGCATTAAAAAGTTGCTTCAATTTATCTTGCCTTGTATTTGCTTCATTACTCTATGTTGTTTCATCAATAGTAATGATTTAGTTTATCATTTGCGTACGCTAGTGAGTATGACTCCATCATGACTTTATGCGAGTAGTTTCAGACTTTACTTTGGTATGATGATTGGTGGTCATAGATGTTAACACAGAAATACTCCAGGTTTACATACAGACTTTTTTAAATGAACCACAAAGCATTTATCTTAGCTATACTGCTGTATGGGGCAAAATGAGGCTTTAGCTATGTTGAGTTAGGAAGGAATGGTGTTAGGTGGCAACCTCCAGGTATTCCCTTGGCAATGTTAAGAAGGGCACTTCTAGTATTGCTTCGTTGACATCAAGGAAAAACATAACCAGACCCTCCTGGCTATGGAAGTCACCCAGGCATGAACACTGTGGAAACAGTGAGTTTATTGTCCTGCTCTAAACTGTGGTGATCAGGCACAGGACTGACAAACAGGTACCCCCACTCAGTCCTGATTATATGGTTTGTTTTACATAATATCCCTTGTTCCTCTCCCAAGTTCTTCACCTTCATCACCCTTATCTTCTCCCAATTACACAACACATAAACAACAGTAAACATCCTTGTTTACCTTTGTTGCACTGGCTCCAGTTTTGCTGACTTGCTGACCTTTTTTTATTTCATTTTAAAATTTTATTTCTTTGGCAATGACTTGGTAGCTTGTGTTTATTCAGAGATGCTCTGAAGGACCTATGTTCTTTTTTATTTTCTACAACATCTGTCAGTTTCTCACACCGTTGCCTTGTTGATGTAGCAATAAACCAAGGCTAGCTATCTGCATGGATATTACTTTGCTTTTAGTATCAGGAACATTTGACAGTTTCACACATTGCTATCCTATCAGTGTAACTACACAGTCACGGTATGCCTGTTGTCTGCACATCTCAACAGACTGAATATGTTAAACAATACTGCTGTGAGGAGATACGTCATGAAGTTAGAGGCATGATACATACTGTATGTTGCTCAGCTCTCTGCTCTGCCAGTCAGCATCTGTGTGGCCAGTCAGCATGTCTGTCTTTGTTTTCTGGGCAACCCTATCGGTGGATGTATGGCTCTAGACATCATGATGGAGGATGCTCAATAGTTAGAGAGAATGAAGCTTGAAATGGAGAACATAAACACTGTGTTATAGTCGAGAAAGATGCCCTGTTGCAAGCACGCAGGTATCTCCAGTGGCTGACCTTCTTGCTAAGGTGCCGCACTTCTGCAAAGCTAGTAACGGCAGCCCCATGCTCTGCAGCCAAGCGCACCAACCTCCTGAAATAAGTTTACTTTGACACAGAGACAGAAGGATAAAAGAAAAATACATGTGTGTGTGGGAGGGGGTTAAGTACCTCCCTGGATGTGCTTTGTGACTTGAGACCAGACTTCAGTTAGTGCTGGGGGTACCTGAAGCAGTGCTACCAATCCCCACACACACCTGTTCTACCTACAGACGTTGCTTCTCCTCCAGGAGGCTGGGGCAGCCAGCCCGACGCTCCCTGCCAGCAGCCACCAGGAACCCTGCCCGCTCAAAAGAGTCTGCCATGTCCCAGGAATGCTAGGACGCTTTTGGCCCAGTGGGGTAGAAGCACTTACGGGTCAGGCAAGGCTGTAGGCGGTGTGACTGGCAATGACTGCACCCGCAGAGGCGGGAAGCCAGCAGTGGCAACTTTGCCATTGTCTGGATGCAGTTCTTAACCAGCACGGTTGGTGAAGGAATCACCCTCTTTGGAGAGTTTCAAAACTCCTTAGGGTGAAGCCTTGAGCAATGCAGGCTGGCTTAGAAGCTGCCCTGGCCTATGGCAGGAGACGGGATGAGGTGTCTTCCAGGGAAGCCTTCAACCCCAAACCTCCTCTGAACCCCAGAATCCTCATGTCAACCTGGTGCTTTCTGCAAGATAACCCGAGTTCGTGCTAGCCCATGTGCCCATGCGGCTGTATCAGAACACTGGCCGTATCTTGTGTAGCCAAACATCCAGGTCGCAATCCTGCAGCATCCCCGCATACCCCAAGGAGAGCTCTTGGCACCACTCATGTCCCAGTGCGCCTTCATGACCTCAGAAAAATCCTCCAAGTATTGTGGGCTCATGAAGGCAGTGCCATACATAAAGTCACTTTTGTAGGAGATGAGGGGTGAGCATGATCACAGAATCACAGAATCTCAGGAGTTGGAAGGGACCTCGAAAGATCATCTAGTCTAACCCCCCAAAGCTCTTGCTAATCAGGAAAATATAAATTTGAGGGAGCTGGGAAAGCAGTGTTTGCTGTAACTTGTCTTGAACTGAAAAATGTCGGTTGTGGTGGTGGTGTTCAAAACCTTTTTGAAGTTGGCTATAAACACACACTGCACATGCAGCAGCTTTCTCCTGTTTTCCCAAATACTATGCAGCTTCTTAAAGATAAGCATTTAGCGGGGAGCTTCTTTCTATGAAGCTAACGAGCTGGGTGCTGTAGCTGTGGGGCAGCACATGTGGGACGCAGCTGCAGGTTGTGTAAATGACTTTTACAGGAGTGGTGTGAAAGCCTGCCTGTACTCCTCTCCAAATGCACTGAGACCGGGGTGGTCAGGGCTGGCACAGGGTCTCTCCAGTCATTCACAGCACGTGGCCATGAATGCCATAGCTTTTGGGGCCTCTTATAAATTGTCCCAGGCTTGGTTGGTCAACCTTGGTGGTGGTGGCTGCCCTGGTCTCATCCTGGTTCATTCCCTCTGCCCTTGTCCCTCCATGTTGATCAGAGTGCAGGTAAGGTGTTTGTTGGCAGTGTGTAAGCTTTCCTCTAGATCATTAAAAGCTGTATTGAGGCAGGATTCCTCACGCTTATGGAAAAGGGAGAATACTTTGCCTCAGGAGAAAGGAAGGAGGTGTTTTCTGCACATAACCCCACGCTGCTCAGCCCAGCCATAACTGTAGTTTAGGTGAGATCTGAAGTACATTGCTACTGTAGCTTGCTTTTCAGTACTGTATTAAAAGTACTGTGTCTAGCAGCTTCACAGCCATCCTCACTCCAGGAAATGTCCACAAGATGGGGCCCCTCTCCTTGATTGCCATGAGGAAGATTTTTAGGGTGTTTGGCTGTAATTGCAATCGTCAACACTCTGAATGGTCCCTGTCAAACTCTGCGGTAACAGTACACCACTGTCAAAGGAAACCTGGCTTCCTAGTAAATGGGAAGCCTTAGTGAGCAAACCTGCTGAATGTTGTCCCTGCGTGCAGCAAGGCACTGTAGCCTGCTGGATTATGACAAAATGTGGAGTGTCACCTCCCTTTTAGGACTCTCTAGTTATTCAGAGGGAGCCCTGCTTGTGATACAACAACGTCACACCCTGCACTTTATTTGCGCTACTGAATGTTTTATCAGTTTATCTCCTGTACATGGCAAAATCAAACTGCCTTGGAATATCATTAAAACTTGATAAAACAACAAGTTGGAAGAAGCATGATTTGAATTGCACCCTGAGGGTATTCTGTTTATGCTTGCTCATCGTGCATAAGATCTTTTTTTATTGTATAAGCATATATAAATAGGGGCATACCAAGCTGCTTAAGGGAATTTTAATCGCGACTAACAGTATTAGTACCAAAATGCTGAGTTAATCGCCTCGTAATTCTCTGTTATTTAAGCTTGATTGACCAAATAGTGCAAAATCACATTAAAATGACTCAGCAAACTAAAAATCAGTTGAGAGGGGACACACCTTAGGCCACCCAAACATATACCACTGAAAGAACATTCAAAGAATAGCAATTAGTAAGTCTGAACTGCTGCTATTCAAGCATCATCTGCGCTTAGTAAAGGTAGGAGAAGCCTTTGCTGTAGCATGGACTCTTGCAGAGACCATTTTTTCCTGTTTCACATCTGGCACTGCTATCACTTGAGGATCAGAGCTCACTGAGTGAGAAGACAGGAAATTGCCACCTTGATGACGTGTCATAGAGGAAGGAGGAAAAGGGCGGATGAGGTGTTTAAGTAATGGGAAGAACAAATAGAGGGATGAAGGAGAAGGCACAGAAGTGTTTCAAACTGGAGCTATTTAGAGCCTTGTTACCTATTTCTGTGTTGCTGCTGTAGCCCCAGGCTTATCATTGTGGGTGGGAGAACAGTACAGATGCTGTTGTGCTATGGCTGCAATATTAGAAGTTCTTAGATCAGGCTCTCTGCCTAAACTGGGTCTTACCAAAATAGTTACACTATTTGGTTTTATTTCATAGAGGGGCTTATGTGAGAGACTAAATCTTGAAACTGGGAAGGGTAAATCAACGCAATGGAAATGCCAGATCTGGGCTGTAATATGTCCTGCATGGGCTTGATGAAATGTGACAAAGTGTCTAAAACTGCAAGGCTGTAAAGTATTGTAGACAGTAATTTTTCAAAAGCAGGCAAGGTGTGCAACATTTTAAAGTCATGATGAAATCCTCACTTCAGAAAGCTTTGAAAGAAAGTCAGAAGACATGTCAATGCAGTTGATTTCTTAGGTGGATATAAAACCTGAGTAGCTGGTATGTTAAAAGTCTTCACGTATCTCAGCCGCAGACAAGTCTGAACTGTATTTCATTTGAAGTTTCACAAATGGAAAGAGCTGATCTCGCCTACAAGTGCAAAGGGCTGATCTAAACTGCAGTTACAATCAGATGCCTGCTCATTAAATTTGCAGTGATTGAATTATATATAGGTGAAAATTAGAATTCAATTAATAAACAACTTCTAAAATCCTAGGTTCCTGCAATTTTTATTTAAACGTATTTTAGCTGTAA